CTTTGCCCCAACATAGAGATAACAGATAGGGATGTGGACCATATCCATCGAATTGGACCAAAACAACAATAAAGAAAGAGATATATAATCGTGAGATTTGCTTTGTATGCAGTGAAAGCCGACATCTTTCGTGCTTTGAATAACATCAAAGAATTGGCATTTGAAGGGCAAAAAATGGAACTGTACCAGGATCTTGCATCAGATACAGTAGAGAGAGGTTAGCAATGGCGACAATACACGAGGATTCTGCAGGAGAGGAAAATTAAATATATGTGGGGTTTTCTTTTTAAATTGATTATCTGGTATGGAAACTCATCAAAAACGATTACTACAATTACGCAGCTGCATGACTTTTTTGAGCAAAGGAAGATTCTCTTCCCAGACATACATCTGGCAAAGATGAGTACAGAGAGGACAGAACAGTGAGAGGGAATGTAGCTTCATTGGAGAAAAGCAAAAACAGGAAAAAATTCTTAAAAGGCAGCGGTGGAGTACTGAGTCTTGGATGGAGAAACTGAACTTCTCTCAAGGACAGAACAAGAGTTGTTATCTGGAACTGAAGATAACTGCCAACGTGAGACACCTGCTGCTTGCTAAACATGTAGTCTTAGGAACTACATAAGAAGATTCCTTATTAAAAACAGAAAAAATATAATGTAATGTAAGATAATGTAATATTAGCTAACAGTTCACTCGTATACAAGTGAAAGATATAAATAAGAAGTCGTGTCTAAGTGTGTAAGCAGTTAAATAAAACATGTAATAGATAGTGAATACAGTAGGATGTAGTAGTATAATACATCCATAGGTTAAGAAAATGCCAAACATAATATAAAATAGTAGGGCAAGAGTTGGCTGCGAGACTGGGTGATCTTCCCACAGGGGCGTGTACAGCTCCTGGCTTCACGTCACCCGACAAGGCTCAGCTCAAATTATTATGAGCTGGAGGTTTCACCTCATAGCCTATAGTGGGGTTGGGGAGAAGGGGAAGGAGGGAGGAAAGGGAGGGGGGATACAAGGGAAGAGGTGGAAGGGGGGAGGAAGGGAGACTTTAGATAGACAATTCAATTTAGAAAAAGATATGTATAATGATAAGGCATGTAGTAGTAATAAAACATTTCAGAAAATTAGATTGATTGGAAGTACAGGTAAAGGTAAAGGTTCCCCTTGACAATTTTTGTCCAGTCGTGCTCATCCCCGTTTCCAAGCCATAGAGCCAGCGTTTTGTCCAAAGACAATCTTCCGTGGTCACATGGCCAGTGCAACTTACACACGGAATGCTGTTACCTTCCCACTGAGGTGGTCCCTATTTATCTACTTGCATTTGCATGCTTTCGAACCACTAGGCTGGCGGGAGCAGGGACAAACGACGGGCGCTCACTCCATCGGGTGGATTCGATCTTACGACTGCTGGTCTTCTGACCCTGCAGCACAGGCTTCTGCGGTTTAGCCCACAGCGCCACCACGTCCCTTGATTGGAAGTACAGTTTATATAATAAAAATATGTAATGTTAGATAATTTTAGTATATTATCTTATAAAACAAATGGTCTTGGCTCACCAGTTAAAAGGTATAGAGTTATGAAAATTATTCAAAAACTGGAGGCAGATGTTGTTTTTACAGGAAACACATTTTAAAAAAGCAAAAAAAGAGAGATATTATTATGCACTCGATGCTAGGAGATCAGTATACTGCAAATTGGACAACTAAAGTGGCTATAATCCTTAGGAAAAAATTAAGATTTGAAGTGATGGACCAATTAAGAAATCCTGAGGGAAGATACTTTCTAGTGAACAGAAAGTTAGAAAATAAATTGCTGACTTTTGGTTCTTATTATGCCCCTAATATAGGGCAACCAACATTTCTGCAAAAATTATTGAGGGAAGCAAAAATAAATTGCCTGGGGTTATATTATTTTGGGAGGGGACACAAACTGCATTTTAAATCAAAAGTTGGATATAACATAAAGAAAAGAAAAGAAAGGTGTCAAGGGATGGAATCAAAATTGGAAAATTAGTTTAAAACGCTGGTTTAATAGATGGATGGAGATATTTAAATCCTAAAATGAAAGATTATACATTTTTTTTCAAAAAAATATGCCACTTATTCAAGAATTGATCATATTTTTATCTCAGAAAATTTGGTATCCCATATAGAGAATATACAGTTTGCTCCTATCATGACCTCTGATCATGCACCAATAAAAATTATTTGGTCTAATAAAGAAGTACAAAAAACCCCTAGAATCTGGAAATGAAGTTCTAATTAGAGGTGGGGACAACTCACTATTTTGGCGGGTTGTCCCGCTTTGTGAGTTGTCAAAAGTTGACGACTTGCAAAGCAGAAGTTGCCCCCATGAAGCAAAGAATAACGAAGTTTTTTTAAAAAACACCCCTGCCCCTGC